TCTTAACCTGTCTTCTGGTGATTTGCTGGCAAACTTTGTTGTTTTTTGGCTTGTTGGTGCCTCATTTCAATCTTCTGTCTTCACATGACATTCTCCCTACCTATCTGTTTCTGAATTTTCCCTTTAAACAAGGACACTGGCTAGTCACACTGGGTTAGAGACCACCCTAATGACATAATTTAACCCCAATTACCTATGTAAACACTCTATTTCCAGATAAGGTCTGTAATACTGGGTGTTGGGGCCTCAATATAACTTTTTTGAAGGGTCACAGTTCAATCGATAAAAACCCACTATCAGGCCAGGTGCAATGGCTCACACCTGTAATCCCAGCACTTTGGGAGGCCAAGGTGGGCAGATCACTAGAGCTCAGGAATTCAAGACCAGCCCGACCAACATGATGAAACCTCATCTCTACTAAAAATATAAAATTTAGCTGAGCATGGTGGCGGGCACCTGTAGTCCCAGCTACTCTGGAGGCCGAGACAAGAGAATTGCTTAACCCAGGAGGCAGAGTTTGCAGTGAGCTGAGATCATGCCACTGCACTCCAGTCTGGGTGACAGAGTGAGACTCTGTCTCAAAAGAAAAAAAAAAGAAAAGAAAAGAAAACCACCATCAATGTAAGAGTTTTACATATGCTGTTCATTCTCCCAGAAATCTTTGCAACCCTCACTCTTCTGCCATCTTACCTGGTTATCCTTTCAAGTTTCAACATAGAATGACTTTTCTTAAAGACAATTGAAGTACAATCTAAATATATTTTTCCCAGTTCATGTATACACTTGGCCTCACTTTTGAAATAATTGTCAAATATGTAATTTTACATTTATTGTTGAGATTACTTGATTAGTATTTGTCTGCTTCACAAATGGTATGGACTTTATAATTTGTGAAGTATTTTTCTACTTCACAGAAAACCATTTCTGCCCAGTGTTGGATCAATAGTGTTTAGAATACCATAGTAGGCATTCAACAAATGTTTTATTAAATAAATCAATCATGGATCAGACCAGCTATGACAAAAAGATATGCCAGAAGTTTCCATATCTCTGCCCTCACTAAAATGTTCATGAGAACATGAATTGATTATTTACATATAATTAAAATAAAACAATATTCCACCTGTTAGAAATTAATTTCTGACAGAGAGAAATTATTTCAGAAAATAATTTCTCTAGCATTAGACTAAATTCGACTGGCCAGAAGAATCAATGAGATTTGCAGTTTACTTTGAATTATCTGTGCTACAGGAGTTGGACAGGGCTTTAAGCCTGCTTGTGTTATTCCATTTTTTTCATCTCAAAAGATCTGTCTGTCTAATTGCATTCATTAGCTACCAAAGCAGGCAACAGAGAAAAAGATTTCAATAAGATTTGAGGAATATTCGGTTTAGTACAACAAATTTATTGACAAGTGCTTGGCTTTGAAACACCAATACAGAAATAATTCTTGTATTGAGATATATGCTATGTGACTTATAATCAACAGGAGCAGGAACAGAAATGCACACATATAATTTCTGTATAAATTTTACTTTTGTTTTAATGTTACACATAAAGGCTTTTAGATTCAAAAATGCAAAATGCTGCTTCTGATTCTTTGGTGGGTATCTCTAATACACACACACACACACACACACACACACACACACATAAGTATCTAACACATACATATATTGTGGATGAGAAATATATATACTTCTCTTATAAAATAAATGGTTTATTTCTCTCCTAAAATAAATGGAATATTCAAAAGCTACAATCTGCTATATTGTCTTTGAAGACTGGCATGAGTGGCTTAAAATTCTAGCTTTTTACCTTATTATCTGAATCATTATGAACAATTCTTTTAACCCTCAGTTTCCTTTTCTGTAAAATAGATGTAATAGTATTATTCTAGTCATTGGATTATTATGGCTATTAAGCATATTTGATAGATTTAATCCTATTACATACAATACGTACCATAGTTATGGTTAACAATCAATAAATTTTTCTATTATTATCTTCACCAACATAAACCCAAGAGATGAATTTTAAAGTCTTCTATTTCAAACATATGCATTTTATTTTCTTTGCAGAGTTCACATTGTTTCCTAAACTTAGGTACATTTTTATCATTTTTTTTTCTCTTTTTGTAAGCTTTATTGAGTTATACTTGATATACAAAAAAATGCACATATTCAACATACTCGATGTATACATTTTGATGAGTTTGGACCAATGTTATACCACCACAATCAAAGTACTAAACATAATACATCACTTTGAAAATTTTCCTTGTGTTCTTATGTGTGTATATTTAGTGTGTGTTTGTGTGTGTGTCTGTGTGTGTGTGAGTGTGTGTGTGTGTGTGTGTGTGTGTGTGTGTGTATCTGTTAAGAACACTTAGGATCTATTCAAGAACAGAAAATCAAAACTGCATGTTCTCACTCATAGGCGGGTATTGAACAATGAGAACACATGGACACAGGGACGGAGTGGGGATGCAAAGGGAGGGACAGCATGGGGACAGTGGGGAGGCTGGAGAGGGATAACATGGGAGAAATGACAGATGTAGGTGACGGGGGAATAGAAGCAGTAAACCACATTGCCATATGTGTACCTATGCAACAATCCTGCATGATCTGCACATGTACCGCAGAACCTAAAGTACAATAAAAAAAGATCTATTCTTTTCACATAATAAAGTTCATGATACTTTATTGTTAACGATAGGTACTGTGTTATACAGCAGACCTCTAGAACTTATTCATCTTGCATTATTAAAACTTTATACCCATTGAGCCCCCAGCAACCATCATCTGTTCTATACTTTCATGAGTTTCACTTTTTTAGATACCACATATGTGGAATCATGAAGTGAATTAAGCCAGTCACAAAAGGACAAATATGATTATTTTTTAAATATAAGTTTCATGTTTACCTAATAGCTGTTATACATAATGAATTAAGACTATTTTCTTTAGGTAAATCATGGCTATAGTTAATATTAAGAATATTATGTAGATAAATTTTACAATCTCTTCTGAAGATTTAATTCTGCCCAGTAGTTACAGAAGCAAAGAGTTATAAACATAGCGATAAAATATCCTTATTTTGAAATATTTATTGTTAAGGTTCGCATTTTTTGGCCTATGCAATATTCATTCTTTGATGAAAGTATTCCCTCTGAAAATTTTTCATAAATCAAAATATATGTACATAAAATGATCAAAATAACATTGAAACAACATAAAGATTGTTTTATTAAAATATAAAAATCTAATTTGTTTGGTACATATTATTTTTGCCTCTGAATATTAGCTATAATTTGGCAATTAGCCATGCTATATCCAATTCAAAATTGGAAGTTTCTTCTTTCATATATATTGTTACTAACTGTATTAAGTTAATAAAGCATGACTCTACTTACTGTATTTACAGAGTTCCTAATTTCCCCAGAAAGTTGCCCTCCAAAAGTCATATTTAAGTATACATAAAGTATACTTTTTAGTGACTCAAATATATTTTTCTGTTACAACAAGATTACATGTAGTTACACAGATAGGCCCCATGAAGATGTTCATGATGCAGTATGAATTCAATATGAGGTATAATAGGAAAGCATAGCCTCAATCAAACTTTATTAATCACTGAAAATCTGAACTTGTCTCTTTCTGCTCTTAAACAGATTTGTTGACCATATCTTTTATAGGAGTTTCTCATCTTTGTCAAGTATGTGGTATAATCCATATGATTTCTCTAGAATTATATTTTTAAAAGTTGAGCATACAGAAGATACAAGAAGGTTTTGAGCTGTGAAACCAGTATCTGTAAGCACTTATTAAGTGCCTTTCCAATTCCATTCAACAGACATTTATGAATTCTAATGTGTTAGGCACAGTGTCAAATCATTTATATCTTTTACTTACTTCAGAGGTCCCCAGTTCCTGGTGTCAGGGACCAGTACCAATTCCTGGCCTGTTAGGAACCAGGCTGCACAGCAGGAAGTGAGTGGTGGCTGGTGAGCTAGGAAGCTTCATCTGTATTTACCACCATTTCCCAGGGCTTGCATTACTGCCTGAGCTCTGCCTCCTGTCAGGTCAGTAGCATTAGATTTTTATAGTTGTAAACCCCATGGTGAACTGTGCATGCAAGAGGTCTAGGTTCACACTCCTTATGAGAACTTAATGCTTGATGATCTGTTACTGTCTCTCATCAACCCCAAATGAGACCATGTAGTTGCAGGAAAACAAGCTCAGGGCTCCCACTTATTCTCCATTATGGCAAGTTGTATCATTATTTTATTGGCCTCCCTCAACAGACTCCAGTGTGTGATGATCCCCTCTCTGTGTCCATGTGTTATTGCTCAACACCCACCTATGGGTGAGGACATGCGGTGTTTGATTTTCTGTTCTTGAATAGATCTTAAGTGTTCTTAACAGATACACACACACACACACACACACACACACCCCAAATATACACACATAAGAACACAAGAAAATTTTTTGAAGTGACGGATTATGTTTAGTACCTTGATTGTGGTGATTATATCACACTAGTCCAAACTCATGGAATCATAACAGAAATAAAGTGTGCAATAAATGTAATATCCTTGAATTATCCCTCACCCACCACCAGTCCATGGAAAAAAATGATCTTCCATAAAACTGATCCCTGGTACCAAAAAGGCTGGGGACTGCTGACATATCTGTTGACCTTCACTTTAGCTGAAGAGTTTGGTGTTCTAATTTCAATTTTAAAAATAATAAAGCTGAGGTTCAAAAGTTTAAACAAGTATCAGAATAGAATTTGAACCCAAATCTGACTGATTCCTAGACTATACCGTGATTACCATTCTATGCTGCCTCTATTCAAGCAAAGTCCTTATCAACTGGTTTTTCAAAAAAGCAGTAACTGTAACTGTTGAAACACCTTTGAAATACCTTTGAAACTCCATTTTAAACTCTGTTAAAAAGAAAACCAACAAAATGGTTTTGTTTGTTTTTATATAGGTATATGGCTATTATTGATCCCTTGAAACCCAGACTGTCTGCCACAGCAACCAAGATTGTCATTGGAAGTATTTGGATTCTAGCATTTCTACTTGCCTTCCCTCAATGTCTTTATTCCAAAACCAAAGTCCTGCCAGGTCGTACTCTCTGCTTTGTGCAATGGCCAGAAGGTCCCAAACAACATTTCACGTAAGTTAATTTTCTATTATGATTTTCAATTCAATATATCAAACACTTATAAAACTACAGATTAGGAGCAACAACCAAACAAATAAGACACAGACATTTCCCCCAGGGTTCATACATTATTTGGAAAAGGAAACATATAAAAATACTGTAATACTGTATGATGTATGTGGTCAATAAGTTTGTGTAAGTTACGAAGGTTTTTAATTGGAAATATGAGGATGTCTATGTGGGATGGCCCTGCAGAGTTTCCTGAAGAAAGTGATAAAAGATAAAAGCAATGTGCAAAGAAAAGCATGGTTGTTATTGATTGAGAAATGAGTGAGAAGGAAGAAATCAAAGCCTAAAAGTGTTGATTGCTCTTTTAAGAAGTGTAGCTGAAGGGAAGGCACACCCTAGTAGGTTATCTAATTTCATTTTGGTTTGATTTGGATTGTGTTCTTCTGCTTGTCTCTAGACAAGCAAAAAGAATTTAAAAACCTGAACACTAGATTGAAAAGGAAATAAAAATGCTATAATATTTGGGAAAATTTGGTTCATATTTTAAACCCACCTTAAATGAAGCAAAAAGGAATAATAATGTAATTGTGTACTTGGTTGCATTTTATTTTTAAATTCTAATCATTTAAATATAATTTCAATAAAATGCTTATTTTTCCATTTTACTGATCATTTTTCCCTTTAAGAATAACAAATGATTCAAATAATGGTTGTCTTTTAAAGCAGTCATTCTATCTACTTTTACTCTATGCAAAGTTCAGATTTTTGAATCAAAATGTTAGGAAGCACTTATTTAAGGAAAATCAGCTCATATAAACTGAGTACTATATTAATTATGATTAATACATCTTAATTGTATGATGTTATCATCTTCAAATTATTTGTTGACTGAATTACTTCCTCACTGACTTTAAATCAATACTTAGTAATCTACTAAGGAAGAGAAAGGCAAGGATATTTAAGGTTCGCTTAAAAAAATACCGGTATGGATAAGACTGTTATAACTAACTTTTTAATTACTTTAAAGCCTTCCAAGGCAGTGAAAACAACAAAAAAGTTTGTGAAATTCTATTTGAGGTATTGTAGTATGGCTTTCTCTCCTTTTCCTCTCTAATTGAGTTCTTATAATTTTGATCAAAAGCTACTAAATACCAGAATTTAATTTGATAATTTATAGCAGCATACTTTTGATGTGACTACTATGTCAACATTTTTTTAGCAAGTTAACAATGCAATCAAATGCACCATGACTTTGGAAAATTACATGCAGATGTCCTTACCCGATTTTTAAAAATTGTGGTAACTTGTGGATTCATTATGGCTCAGAGTATCTGCTTACGTTCTTCCCTCCACTTGAATCAAAATCAATTTGTATATGTCTGATGTTGCAGGGACATAGAAGATAATCTACATAGGAGAAAATGTATGCCAGTTGATTTGTTTATTCCATCCCTTCCCTTTCCTTCAATGATACATTTAATTAGTTTAGCTCAACAATTACCAAGCAGAACACAAAGCAGTAGAAAGTCTTTCATCCTCGACGTCTAGACAAGGGGAACATGTGTTTAACTGAGCCCCTTCAACTCAACTACAGTTTTCATATACCAAGTAAACATTGACAAACATCAACTGGCAGAATTTGAAACATAAATATAAGTGACAATAGCATGATATTTTGACAGAATTGTGAGATGAATGTATAAAGATATTGCAGAGATGATTCTTGGTAGTTTTAATTATGATTTAAAGCTGAACAAATTCAGTTCCTAGTATTTCTTTCCAAAAAGTTCTTCAGCGTGTGTTTTTCTTATTCATTGTAGTTACCACGTTGTCGTCATTATACTGGTGTACTGTTTCCCATTGCTCATCATGGGCATCACATACACCATTGTTGGAATTACTCTCTGGGGAGGAGAAATCCCAGGAGATACCTGTGACAAGTATCATGAGCAGCTAAAGGCCAAAAGAAAGGTACTGTTCCATGTTGTTTGCCTAGCGTTTGTATAGGGTATGGTACACCAGAAAGAAAACAATCTACTCATGGCATGTTAATATGATATGATCTGATGCTTTACTCCTATTCTTTAATGTTTTATTCTTTTTTCTTTTTTTTCCTTAGGGTTTTGTATAACCTACTATCCACATACTATATCAGTTTGTTACAGAATAGTTACTTCGTTACAGAATGATTTCTTAAAAATCAGCTTTTGTAAAGTATTCTTAATTACTCTGCTGAAATTGCTGAAATTTCACTGAATTTCACTATTTCAGTTGATTGCATTTTTGCAAATCTACCTTTCTTTGTCCTTGATTGAAAAGAAAGCCTCTGATGTATTCTTTAATCCACTCAAAGTTTCTTTTATCCCAGAAATGATATCTCTTCTAGAAAGTACAATAATTTTCCAATATACATCTATCTTTCCTCCATCCCCTCTTGTCTCTCTTTATTCTTCTCTTGCTTTCTCTGTGTGTTCTTTCCCCTGATAAGACATTTTATATATGTGTACAATTAAAGGATGAGGATTGCATTAATACTATTCAGTAATTTATTGAGTGACACAAAAAAGGCTGTTTCTGACTAATTTACGTGAAGCAAAAAAAACTCTAAAAAATACTATGTCTATATTTTACTATGATTTTTTTATTAAGACATTTTCTACTACCATTTTGCAACTAAATAAGTTAGATTTTTCATAAATTTGTGAAGTTAAAAGGAATCACATTCAATCCTTTTTTCCACAGTTGGTGTGTGCCTAATGCATCTTGGAGAGGTTTTATCAAATATAAATGGTCACAATGATTATGCCAATTATTATTATTTGTTCCATTTATGACTACTTACATAGTACTACTAGCAACATATGGACATTTCCTTTAAAAATCACTCAACAATCTTAAAAATACTTAGCTACAAAAACTCACTTAACAATAATCATTCAGGTTTTAAAAATGCAATGTACAAAATGGATTCCGCTTCAATAGTGCTTTTTCTCCAATACTGACAATACTAGACCACATCTACATATGGTTAATATCTACCACGATTTCTTTTTTTTTTTTTTTTTTTTTTTGAGACGGAGTTTCGCTCTTGTTACCCAGGCTGGAGTGCAATGGCGCGATCTCGGCTCACCGCAACCTCCGCCTCCTGGGTTCAGGCAATTCTCCTGCCTCAGACTCCTGAGTAGCTGGGATTATAGGCACGCACCACCATGCCCAGCTAATTTTTTGTATTTTTAGTAGAGATGGGGTTTCACCATGTTGACCAGGTTGGTCTCGATCTCTCGACCTCGTGATCCACCCGCCTCGGCCTCCCAAAGTGCTGGGATTACAGGCTTGAACCACCGCGCCCGGCCTATCTACCACGATTTCTAGTATTGAAAACAAAAAAATAAAATGAGCTTTTCCAGATCAGTTTACTCATTTCAGGTTGTACAAAAATATATCTACTGTATATGTAATTCCATTTTATTTTTCTTTCAAAAAACTTTTCTGAAAAATAATGTGCACAAACAACCAAATGGCCTCTGGCACCTACAAACGAATTCTAAAGTGAGGAAAGCTTCAAAAACATGGCCCTCTTACATGAACAGTATCTCTCTCCCCTTTGTAATTTCAACCCTCCTTATCTAACATCTTGCTCATGTTGAAAGATACTCTTTTCTTGGGATAATTTCTTACAGTTATGTCTTAGGTATTAACACAGTAAATAACTGACGTTATGTTCTGTGTATTTCAAAATAATTTCTCTATAATATCTGCTTAGTTTCTGTCATTTATTTTTTTCATATTAGTTTAGATTTTTTTAAACATTTCACTGTGCACTCTTAGACAAATTAAAATGAACCCAGTAATTGTAGATTATAGTTTTTCTTCATATGCATGTAATATTTTTCTAGAAAGAAATAAAAATTTAATCTGAGTGTTCCTTTTATTTTTGAACTCAGAGTCCCAGAGGGAAGAAAAAGTAAGAGGGTTTCTTTTTTAACTTTGCCTCTAAACAAGAGGCAAAACATTGCCTTTTGATTTCATTACTACACAATTTCAAAGTAAAAATATTAACTCAAACTGGGAGTGTGATCCTTCTAGAATTTTTTTAAAGTAAGATATTTTAAAGTTCTAGTTCATATGTCTTTGTCTAGGTTTGTGTTCTAGACTGAAATAATATGCAAAATGGCTCTTTATGTCATGGACTTCTCATAATAAATATGTTTGTCCTTGGATTTATTTTACAGTTATTGGTATGACCATTGGTATCTAGGTACTAACACTCATATTGTTCAAATTAATAAAATTTTAAAATATAGCTAGCTCTTCTCTTAATTTCTTCCTCTTTATCTAAAATTACAATATTGTTCTGGAATGGTTTAGAATACTGCTATTACTGGTAATCATGCTAGTTTTGTATTTTTCACATGATTACTTAAAACACAGAAGTTCTACCCTGGATGGACCATTTATTCATATGTTGTGTCCTAGAGAATACACCTTTGATATTGCAGACTGGACATGAGATATTTAAAAAAAAAATAGCATTGGCTACATGAGTGCAAACTAATCATGACTATTGGGAAAAACAATTCTATACACTACTGTGAGCCAGTCTCTTCAGAATAAAAGACTATACAAGGTGGAAGAGGATGGTCAAATAGAAGCCTTCACTGATTATCACCCCAGAAGGAAACCAATATAAACTATCTACACAGAATAATAATTATTTCATATGAATCAAAAATCAGGAGAGCTCTCACAGTATCTGATTTTAACTTCATATAGCTGAAAGAGGCACTGAAGAGTGTAGGAAAGACATTCTTGAATTGTCATTGATATCCCCAACCCATCCCCAGCAGCAGCCATATGGCATGAAGTCAGAATTTGTGCCCTTGGGAGAGAGAGCGCAGCAATTGTGAGACATTGCATTGAACTTCATGGTGCCCTATCAAAGCAGAAAGCAAAACTGGCCCGAATCCAGCTGATGCCTGTGCATAAAGGGAATATTTAATCCAGCCCTAGCCAGAGGGAAGTCACCCATCCCAGGGATCAGAAGTTGACTTCCTCCATGCCTCACCACAGTGGGCTAAAATCCTGTGGGGCTCTAAATAAACTTTAAGTGCAGTATAGGCCACAAGGACTGCAACTCCTACATGAGTCACAGTGCTGTGCTGAGCTCACAACCAGTGGACCTGGGTGATGCAAAACCTACTGAGAAATCAGCGGGGCTGACTAAGCGAGTGCACGTACCACCTCCCCACAGCTCATAGGCTGGCAGCACAGCTCATAGGTTCAAAAGGGACTGCCTCTTCCACTTGGGAAAGGAAAAGAAAGAGTAAAGAAGACTTTGTTTTGCATCTTGGATACCAGATGAGCCATAGTAAGATAGGGCACCAGTCAGAGTTATGAGGCCACCTTTCCAGGACCTAGCTCCAAGATGACATTTCTAGACACAACCTGGACCAGAAGGGAACCCACGGCCTTGAAGAGAAGGATCCAGTCACAGCAAGACCCATCACCACTGACTAAAAAGCCCTTGAAAGCTTGAATAACCAGTGGCAATACTCAGGTAGAATACTGTGGGCCTTGGGTGAGCCTGAGACTTGCTAGCTTCAACTGAGACCCAGCACATTCCCAGCTGCGGTGGCTACAGGGAAAAATACTTTCTGCTTGAGAAAAGCTAAGGGAAAAGTAAAGGGACTTTGTCTTCCTTGTTAAGTACCAGCTCAGCCACAAGAAGATAGAACACAAAGTGGGCTTTTAGGGTCTCTGATTCCAGGCCTTCAGGCTTGGACAAGATTTTTGGACCTACCCTGGACTAGATGGGAGCCCACTGCCCTGAATGGTGAATCCCAGTCCAGGCAGCATTCACCACAAGATAACTTAAGACACCTGGGTCTCAAGTAAACATAAGTAGTGGTAGTAGTCTGGCAGTATTCCCTATAGGCCTGTGGCAGTGGTGGCCACAGGGTGAGGGGCCTCTGCCTTTGGAATGAAGAGAAAAGAGGGAAAATAACTGTTTCTTGTGGTTTGAATGCCAGCTAGGTCACAGTACAATAGAACACAAGGTAGACTTCTAAGGTTTTTTTGACTCTAGTCTCTGACTCCCACACAGCAACTCTGGACCCACCTAGGAAGAACTCTGGACCCACCAGAATACCTCTGGACCTACCTTGGAGAACTTACCACTCTGAAGGGAAGGACATAGCCTGGCTGGCTTCACCACCTGCTCATTGAAGTATGCCAGCCTGTAAGCATAGACAATAGCCAGGTTTTGGGTGAACCCCAGTGCTGTGTTTGCTTTATGTGTGACCCAGTGCAGTCCCAGTGGTGGTGGCCACAGGCTAGTTGTGTCATCCCACCCACAGCTCCAGGTGGCTCAGAACATAAAAAGGGACTAGGTTTGGAAGAAAGTGAAGGTAGAGAACAAGAGTCTCTATCTGGATATTCAGAGAATTCCTCTGGATCTTATCCAAGACTAACAAGGAAGTACCTCTGTGAGGCTGCAAGAACCACAGCCTCACTTGGTGTGGGGTACCCCCTAATACAGATATGGCTTAGATCACAACACCCAACTCCTTTTGAATATATAGAAAGCCTTCCCAAGAAGTCTAGGTCCAAATGGGCCTAGACTCTGAAGACTACAATAAATTACAAACTCTTCAATGCCCAGACACAGACAAACATCCAAGAGCATCAAGACCCAGGAAAACATGATCTCATGCAATGAACTAAATAAGACACCAAGGACCAATTTTGGAGAAACAAAGATAAGTGACCTTTCAGGCAGAGAATTCCAAATTGCAGTTTTGAGAAAACTCAGAGAAATTCAAGATAACACAAAGAAGAAATTCAGACTTATATCAGATAAATTTAACAGAGATTGAAATAATTAAAAAGAATCAAGAAAAGGTTCTAGAGTTGAAAAATACAATTTATATACTGAGACATGCATTAGTAGCAGAATTCATCAAACAGAGAAA